GGCCAAAAAAGAGACCGAGACAAAACTAGGTCGTCCTCTGTAGCTGGGCGGGATTTTTGCTCTCGACCGATCCGAGCTCGCTTAAGTCGAACATTTTCCTCATCTGCTCATTGGAAATTGGTTTCTTATGGACTACGCCGGCAATGATGCCTGTTTTCCTGAGGCCTTTTAAAAATGCTCTGATAATTTATTTGCCTGGTCAGAGATAGTGGAAAACGGTTTATTGTTCGGCGGCGTGCGAAGGAAGTGATCAATGGCGGCTCCTATGGATTTCGTGGATGAACTTTTGTAATACGTGCCATCTTTCTTCCTCGCAGACGTATAAAAACACTTCAAACAAACATTTAGTTCTTCTTTTGACATTTCTTATATCGACTTGGAAAATTTGATGCCACCAGGACTAGCAAGCCATTCTGTTAAGGTAAACATTGTTTCTGTTACACAATCTTCATGAATGCGTTAAATCTCGACGGTCATATTTTAATTTTGCAACTTTTAAGGGAAAATTAACGTATACGTACCGTTAAATAATCTAATCTCGAACTTTGTGGCTTTTTGTTGTTACTGCATTGTCCATAATTTCCTGTGTTTCTTCTGCAGATAGCTCACCGAATCTGCTTTTTCATCCATTTTTTTGTCGACGAAACTTGGCTCCCCGCGAAAAAGTTTATGCCGAGCGACATTTACCGCATTCATTTCCATGTAAGGTCAAACGCAGGTATAATGGCTGGTAACCGAGATCAAGTGAACCAATCAGAAAGCTAGAATTGCATTATCCGAGGTTGAGAATTTAATAATAATTAAATTTAATTTAATAATCTAAGTTAACCGACGGATATTTCTGACCAGTAGTTCGAGTTATCTAGTCCATTCTCACTCTTTTTTTCCTAGATTATCATTTCTTAACACGATATTAAGTTGAGCAGAAAGCTGATTTGCTTGACTTGGCATACCCTGGAAACAACTCTTCCCCAATCCCTTCTCGATTTGACTCTCGCCTACAGCAGTTGCTGTAAGCAAAAAGTCCCATTTTACAATTGAGAGCAAACTTAAGCAGCGACGTTTTTGAGACGCGAACGGCAACCAGAAGAGGAACGGAGCTAATTCTGGCGCGCTTTTGACGCCATGGGATCAACTGCAAAGTCGTCGTGTTTGTATTTCAAACCAAACTGTGCTGACCAAAAAGCTGTAGAGAACACCTGGAACGAGAACTTTCAACCTCCGGTTAGCGTCCGCGTCCCAAAAGCGTCGCAACTTAAGTTCGCTGATGTGTCGGCCACAACGGTCAAAATGAATAATTTTGTGACCTGTATAGACTTTTAACTGCTAACAATGAATAAATTAAGTGCTTAAGCTTTAATATGAACCTAAGCGTTTTCTTTCTTGGATTCAAGAAATACACTAAAATGAATATTTTAAAACAATGGGATGAGTGGTAAGGCGTGGATTCGGTTGTATTCACGTAGCAGATAGATGAAACAGTTGTTTCAGAGAAATTGGTCTTAACCGCAGATACTTTTACCCTTACACTGATTACCGAGCACTGTTAGAGAGAGAACATTGTTTTGTAGTGTTGTATGTTCAGGATTTCACAAGAGAATTTTAAACGATGGAAAAGATCATTGCTGTTTGAAAGTTGAAACAACGCCGTCAAAATGCAAAGGTAGATAAATCGGTGAATTTACTAAGTGATGATTTGGTTTAGAAAGTGAATTACATTTGATACCTCACGCGCTTTTTACAAAATCAAGCTGACTCACCTTCCTGTACAATTATCTCTTTTCACGTTCACTATAAGCTGTCTTGATCAACTTTTAATGGCTACTGCCACATAAATACGCGGCCATGCACTTTTCATCTAATATTACAAGTGGCCCTCATCCGGCTCATAATGTTTCCTTACGTGTCCATATTCTCGTAACATGAAGCTACTATGGCGAAAAAAGAACGAATGGATTAACAAGACACAAAACATCACGCTAGATGACGTGCGAAACAAGTGGCATGTGCAAGTTCCGAAAGAACAGATCTCTTATTAAATCCTTCGGGCTTAATTGCTTGTGTACACATTTAGCGGTAAGGAAGCTGGAAGATTCTAGTTTTGTCAAGCTTCGAGACGAAAGTTGCTATAACCGCCAGATTTAGGATTTTACGAGAGCCGAGTGCCTGACTTCATTTGAAATGGATGGCTATGAGTAAATAAAAGGAAAAATACGGAGCCGGATGGGAAAATAAGGATTTGTAACATCAAGGCTTAAACTGAATGATTGGCTCTGACAGAAACAACACTGGACGAAAATTGATCAAAGTCGATTGATTTTCTACTCCATGACGATTTAACAGAGTCCAATAAACATTTCCTGGCTTTACAGAATGGTTTATCGTTGAAAAGGAATACTATACGTATTCACTTCTTAACAGTGGCCGATTTATTGGTTGTTCTGTCCACCACAGTTTGACCAAGGTTTAACAAGGTCACTAGCAAGGGTAAAGTTTCTCTGCAGGAGGTGATTTGTTTAATCCAGTTGTTTTGTGTTCATATTTAATCAGTTTTATTCTTTTCACGGTTGGTGTGGTGGTACGTTCTTCCATTTCTATCTTAAAAAGAACCAAACAACAACAACTATTTAAACAGTTTCAAGGCTTTTCATATTTAAACGGTCATTAAACGAAAAGAACACTGACAAATCAGGCAATATTATTTGCAATCTAGTTCACTAAAGTTTAACTGAAATATTTGAGAACGCGAATCCTGATTCCAAACATCCAAAGACAAAGATGCTTTATCTTTTCCGATTTTGAGGAATAGAAACCATAATCTGCAACAGCATTGTCATAGTTCAATGAAAGACGGCTTTTTAACTTATATTTTCTGTGTGAGATCAAAATGAGCCGGTGCAAATGTTTGCCGTTACACAGCGTGTAGTTAGTTTAATTTACATTTAGTAATTGCTTTTAGTTGTTTGCCTCGGGCGGCGAAGTGGCGTGAGTATGCAAATTCACGGTGGTGCGCTTGTGGTTGTTTCTGTGTGAAACAAAGAGCGTACAAAGAAAAGGAAACGAAGCCTACATCACTTTCTTGATCTCGCGCACTTGTAAGCGGCTAAAACTCATTTATTAGTGTATCATTGAGTAATACATAAATAGCCCTCCTCTCTTTTCATTCGAATTGAATACCTCCTTAATCAAAGAAACACGAAATTATTATTTTTCTTGTGTCACAGTTAGGTAATACATAAGCAGCCTCCACTCTGTGTAATTCATACTGGGTTTTTTTCGTAGTAAAAGCGTCCACAATCAATAAAAAGACGAACCTACCTCTCGTGGGCTGAACAAACAATGCTCTTGCTTTAAGTCGCGCCATTTCGCGAGTTTCAATGCAATACGCGTTTTAATAAACATAGGAATTAGGCCGTTCGAGAGCAAACATCCTCAAAGATGAACAATTATTTTATAATCTCCCCTTCAACCACGCAAGTTTTATTCACGTGCATCGAATGCAGAGTACATTCGTCCAGTTGAACACGTCCCTACCAATACTCGATTCTCAGCGATAAACTAGAGTATGTTGAGCAAACTGAGAAGAAAAGAATTATTCAACGTTCAGAGAATTTATTGACCTGCGTAACTGAAAAATAATTGTATTGGTTTCGTTTGGTTTTTCGTGTTCCCTTACAATCATAATTGCGCTTGATTATTTTATTTCAGTAATTTCCGATCTGCAAGATTTCCGTGGCAAACCGCACTACTTGTTAATCATTTTATCAACAGCTCCAGAGGAACGCCGCAAGTTATTTATAAGTCTGCTAATCGTGCTAAAAAGAAACTAAGATACAAAATCAACGACAGTAGATGTATACGCTTCACATACAAAAATATTTCTGTGTGTAAGGTAGGTTTGTTCACGCACCGAGTCAAGTCAGGTCAAAACTTGAATGCCCGGAACAATTTACAAATCTTAACTTCTTAACCTTTTTACAATAAATATATCGATGTTGATCACGAAAATAGAGAACCTGATCGTGACAGGAAAGACGTTCAAATATCTCAAACAAATTCTCCCAGCAAGAGTATAGAAAATGTATTGTGAACAATTAGGAGAATTCCAATACTGATATCAAGGTACAAGTGTTTGCACTAATTTCTGGTTTCGCTTTCGAGAATTGTTTTATCTGATCGAAATTTCTTGAGACTAATCTAAATGTTTAATAAACCCTCATTTAAATAATTCATTTGAATGAATTACGCTGAACAGTGATTTGCTGGTGAAATGGTTTCGTGTGGAACAATTTACTCAATAAGTCAGTTGAGGCATTGGTAGCGTAAACAAGAAGATTACAGCAAAATATTCCGTGTTGATAGGTGATCCTTAGCCATAAACTTGACTTAAATATTAGCCCTAAATTAGGTCTAAGTCTTTTTCAATCTAATAATGTTCACGCACTCATTGTGAGTTCTTCTAACCTAAGTATTGTATCATGCGGTAAGGATTATTTCTCCGAAAGTTCTCAACAATAGCAGGATTTTTAACCTGGAGTGAAATTAGGCTTGAATTTTTCTGTTACTAATGGTATTTTTTTTTTAATCTCTTAAACTTCAAGGACAACATCGTGCTACCGTTAGAGGCCCGCATCAACTCCAGATTTACTCCGACACTAAAAGCCGTAACTACCGCTAAGTCAAAAACAAGTGAGAAAACCACAAAGGCCGACTGCTCAGGTGCATCGGGAAGCTGCTACATGTAACAACCCGTCAAATGTATCATGAAAATAACATTTTTTCCTCGAAGCACCTGGGTTATTTCCTAGTTGGTAGTTTCGATGAAAATTCGGCATTTTCACTCCGCCCTAGATTGCAAACGTTCTCAAACGCTGATATAAACCTCTTCCTCTTCTATTCTTTGCCTGCAGCATTGACTCGTTTCAACAAAACCAAGAGAAAATGAGATGACAAAACACATTGTTATTTCATATCGCGTTTACAAAGCACGGGATAAGTTTTCCTCGGCCATCCTGGTTAAACTCCGTTGGCTTTGCTTCTTTACCCGATGTTGGTAATCCCGAGTGAAACTGCAAAATGAGCGCATCTTTGGGCTTAGTATTAAAATGCCGACCAAGGTGTTTTTCACCCGAGGTATTAAAAAAAACATTGCACGAAAAATTACCAAACACAGTTCAAGTGTTCAGTAAACAACTCTGGATTGCTACAAAAACACAACTGACAAGATTGATCCAATCTGTTCCTTACCTGGCTTATGAAAATGTTGCTTGGTGAACTGAGCACAGTTTTAGACCATTCTTCATCGCAGCCAATTTCCTTTCGCTTTGCTTCACATGATTAGTCTTAATGTTTTTACAAACGAGCTGGGTGAATTTGAATATCTGCCGACTGTTACCGATACATAATTCATAAATCACATGCTAGTAGACACTTGCAAAGAAAACTATAGTTACACTGATCACGTTTGTAAATTGAACGTGATTCTTTCTCAGGTGACGAAAAATGGTAGAAATAATGGGTATTTTTTTTAACAGTTTCGATTGTGAGTATATAATATTAGAAATTGTCAAAAATGGCGGACGTTGTTACAATCAGACGATATAATCAAAATTGCAATTATTTCACTTTTAAAATGAATGTTTAAATGCAAGAAAAACTCTGTACAAAATGTCAGTGTTCCTTTTCTTTATTGCAAGCATCTCCAGTCTTGTTTGGGAATTCACTAGTTGAAGCGAGTTATAGCGCTGTTATAGAAGACTATTTAGTTTTAAGGATCGTACCTTGGCAATTTAACCTCAGTACAAGGTTATGTTTACAAAATAATAGCATTCACGTCACGTACCAGCTCATTTTGAAATCTTCTCCTGCTATGAAGGGAACTAAAAAACAAGCTTAGAAAAACGCACAACTAATCCAAGTTGTCTTCAGTTCGTTCCTATTGTGCGGTTACGGACACAGATGTTCACCTTTCTGTAATGTGCAACTGATAGGCGATGATTCAGTCAATAGTCTCCACAAGACACTTCATGTCAATATTTACTTCTTTGAGTTACAAACAGTGACATAGCTTTTATAGTTATAATTGTAAATTTTTTTTTCGCATCTTATGAATTTCATTTCCACAAATTTCTCTTTCAAGAAAAGACTCTATCGTAACCACTTTCAATTGCAGTGACTTCAAACTGGTTACTCGCGAAAGAGCTGATAGCATATAGTAAATTCAAAACGCCTTTTCGAGTCAAACCTCTTTACGATCAAACCCGATAAATAAGTCGTTAATATATTTCAGGGAAAAACAAATTTTCACCAACACGAGAGGGGAGAATGGGGAGAGCGATTCAAAACATGTTTCCCCCCTCCACCTCATAAAAGGGAATGATCTTCTCAATTGTTACTGCCCATTAAATCATATCATTTTGCACTTTTTGTGTTGTACTGCTTTTTGTATTTTATTTTTATGTTAAATTACTGTAACCGACTGAACATTACCGGCAACTTATAAAAAAAATCATTTAATCAGTTACCTGCAAACCCCAATTAATCATGTCAAATCTCACGTTTTAACCCACTTTCGTCCATGTTAAAATTGTACAGCGCCTAGAGCAGGCATGGATAGGCGCTATATAAATATTTATTTATTATTATTATTATTATAAATTTAATTACTGTTACATCTCAGAACGAAAAGTCGAGGAAAAAAACCTAGACATTGGGTGAAGGAAATATGAAGACTCCATAGCGGCAATTTGTATACAAAAAAAATAACAAAGTAGAAAACATACCTGACCTGATGGACAGAGTCCTTGTTAACCTTAGACGGCTCGCCACAGAGAAAAAACTCAAATTCTGTGTTCCTTTTTTTAGAGAGCGTTCTGTTTTATTTTTCTGTTATCCAGTAATTAATTTGCCTTCTCTTAAAATGTTGACCTGCCATTACTGAAATGGAACTTTACCACTGACTGTGGGACAACTAAACAATCTACTCACGAATCTGATTGGCTCAGGTCCAGGTCGGAGGTAGACGCTGGGCTAGTTACACGCTGTTAAGACCTAGGGCCTCCTTCTCGAAAGTGCCGTTAACTTTACGGAACCAAAGTCATATTTCAAGGTTTAAATCTAAGGAATAGTAGTCCGGGATTTGGCTCAAAAACCAGTCCATTCTGTTTCGTTTCCTGTTATCTTTTATTGTTGGAATTTCAAAACTGTTAATATCCCGATCTTGAATGTAAACACGGGAAACATAAAACAACTTTTCCGGACCGGTAACCGGAACTTTCGATAATAGCGCCCCAGAGAAAAAAAAGTCCAATTCTGTAATCTTGTTAGGGCCTTTGAAGGGTTTGAGCATAATTATCGATGATAAGGATCAAAAAGGACTTTATAATGGCCTGACTTGAAAAATTACGCTCATGGTTTTCTAATGACATTAATTCCTTTAATTTTTGGCGAAAACAGTCCCTTTGGTAAACATATGCTGTATTTTACTAACCACAACTGTCAGCGAAGAATGTTCACGAAAGCTACCCTGTCTTCACAAAGCTGCCAGTGAAGAATGTTCACGAACTTTGTCTAAATGCCGGCAAATGTATCATGCATTTTTTTAAAAAAATCAAAACTTTATAGAGATGGCAGTGAGTAGACAGAAGCGTCTTAACATCCTGACGTTAACAAATTTTCAAATTCCGTGGACAACTGAACGATGAAATTATTATTTTACTGGGCCATTAAACATGTTCCGGTGGTTAGACAGATGTACACAATAAACAACGCATGCAGTCACGACTAAGGTCCGTCCACACTACGCTGGAAAAATTTGAAAACGGCGTTCTCACTCCTCAATACGCCGGAGAAAACTGAAAACGTAACAATCACCGGCGGTAGAAAAGCTTGAGTGTACCCTCTTCAGTTACGATTAATAACATAGTTATCAAGACCGTCACCCTTTTCAAAATGTTTTCGGTCCACACTAAAACGCAAAGCCGGCGTTTTCAAATTTCCCCGGTTTGAAGAGCGGTTTCGAAAAGCTCCGTGTACGGTCTGGATTAGTGTGGACGGTACGCGTAACCGTAGAAATAAAGCTGTGTTTTCAAATTTCCCCAACTACCCATGATATTCACTTTTTTTAGTGATTTGTCACCTCAATAGGCCATTTTCGTATTCTCGGTATTGGACTGGAACTAGCATGCAAGTGAGGCTAATGCGGGAAGTCTTTTCAAATGCAAATGACATTAATCTCTTTGTAATGATATTCCCGTCCATATGAGCCTCCATTACAAGCTAGTTCCAGTAAAATACCAAGCATACGAATATGGCCTATTGCGGCAAATTATATTTCGTGACGTACTTAATTATCGATTGTATTACAAAGTTGCACTGTCTAATTTGCCGTTTAAGATAACTATCGGATTAAGTGACTTCACTGCCTTTTCTTTAGTGTAATTAACTAAGCTTATACAAGATGCAGATGCAGGAAAAAAAAAGAAGATACAGAGTGTATTTACACTAATTAGATTGATAGATGCGTTTTTACCTAAATTTAGCTGCATTCGACCACAGACCCAGCTGTCGTGACCTAATCACATACGCTCTATTTTCTCTTGGGGTGGGAGGTCGAGAACGAGGATTTTTCGCTGGTTTTGCACTCGCGCTCTTATCGATGATTCGGTGCTCCACTGAATTCCAATTGCCACGCGCTTTCGTTCATTAACACCAGAATGTAGGAATAAGGGCACACTTGAATGGGGCAGCCGGTATTCACTGGCCGTTTGATAATCTTCACCAATAGACCATATTCGTATTCTCGGTATTGTACTGGAACTAGTTTGCCATGGACACTCATGCGGGGAAATATCAATAACAAGAGATAAATGTCATTTGCATTTGAAAAGACTCCCCGCAGTACCAGTCCAATAACGGGAATACGAATATGGCCTATTTATTCCTTGCTGATGGTCAACTGGAACCACAGACTACAATGTAATATTCGTGCACTGGTCGGATGATTACGCGCCGCACTAATTTCATATTCATATTTTTGCCGCATATTAGACACTTGCCATAATATCACAAAAAAAAAAAAAATAGTGGCATTGCTCATGAAATACTATTTTATAGCAAGAAATATTGTGTATATCATCTATTAGTTCAGAAACAAAACTTCACTTTTTCTAGGGCATCACAGTAATCATGAACATCACCTAATTTATCTGATTTTGATTTTTCCATTGTGCAATTGCGGTACGTGTGTGTATTTCAGACACCATGTTCATCAGTCTCTCTCAGAAACAACCCAGAATTGCCGATAATATCACGAAAACCCTAAATAAAAAGATTACACCAAAACACTTGTACTGAGGAACTCGTTCGGAATTCAAGTAAGAAATTATTAAAATCTTGCCTTTCCGTCGAAAGCTTCATCTGTATCAGTTAAAAATAAGGAAAGGTCCCACTATGCGTTAATTTCTATCGAACGTTCTTCGAACGAAAAATTTCACGGGCCATGTTACAGAAAACATACAACAAACAAACAAACTGAAACGAAAGGAAATCGTGATGCTACATGAACCAGGGGAACGTTTAACCAACAAGGAAAACGTCGCGAAGATCGTAACAACAGTATTTAGAAGAAACATTTGGCATAGACAAGCCACTGGACAAGCATCAGTCTAGAGAATAATGGAGGCTACCTTACGTTGACGCTTCACTGAGCCGTTGAGACATCAGTCCTTAACATCAGTGTTATCCTGGAGAGCCGGAAAATTTTTGAAAATCATGAAGCTACACTGAGACTGAGTTTTGTTGTAGTAAAATCTGACACCAGGTGACAAACAGGGTTGTAAAGCAGTCAAACAATGTTGAAACTTAGGAGTGAACGTTCTCGAAAACACTTAAAAAGAGGAAATTTTTAGGAAATGAAAACATGCTCTTTTTACTGTTCCCTCCAGTCAACTGGAAAATTACTCATCCTTCCATGACTTTTCGTGCGTCATAAAGTCTTTGTAGTGGTTAGTAACATTTGTGATCAAAGCATTGCGCACAAATCATTCAGACATCTGGATGTCTTTGTCTGTCCAATTAGTACTAATCGAACAACAAAGCGAACAAGAATACAAGCAATACAGCCACGATTAAACTCTTAACGTGCCTTTCAATTAGAATTTCCCAAGAGGGCAATGAAACTCCCAGTGAGACGTAAAAGTGGTACTAACACTTACGGAAACATGTTCCAAAATGTCCAGCGATGCAGCAAAAAAAAGTTTCTCATTTAATGAGCCGCTTTACTCAAACTATAGCTCTCAGCTCTCTCTCTATCTATAGACCTGGCGAAGGACTGGCGGAGACATGTTTACACGCAACTAGCTTCTCAAAGCTAGTGATCGGATTGCTACGGCGGACCGGCTACGATATGCTGTTTTGGGTGAAACACAATCAATATCAAAACTACCCAGCAACAAGCAAATAACTTACGGATAACTGAAATCGTATTGATCTCTCTGCCGTACAACTATTCCTACTAAAATACAGATGCCTAATCCTTTCGGAAGGTCTGGGTGAAGTCTGGTTACGGCGACATCTCGGGAATCTTGTTAAGTACTTCGAACATTCTGATCAGAATTACAGGGTCAATTTAGCAGCTGTTTAGGTCTGATTTTCGTTTTACATAGAATAAAATTACCTCTCTTAAAAATTTACATATTTGTCTCGGAAGTAATATCTGCGATCGTCCTTTCTCTGCCCTTGAGCGGTCCAAAGAACCTGGTAACGAGTTTTTCTTTGTGTTGGTTGAGTGTTTTTTTTAGTAAAACCGCTTTGTCATCACCTATGTTTCAACGCACGCACATGGAATTATTGTTAAATAGGTAAACAGTTTAAAAATTACGAAAATCAGACACGGGAAACGGAAAGTTTAGATTTCACGCAGAGATAAAAACGTTAAACTTAGTAAACCTCTGTCAACGAGCCTGATGCACACAACACGTTTAACCTTATCTAAATCCACAAAGTACTATAAGTTCTGTTGTAAACAAGATATCAGACCCACCATTCAACCACTGCATCGTCATCAAGCCGAGCTGTGCAATGATTCACTGGCACTTCTTACTTCTGGAGTATGAGAGAAAAATTAATGATATCTCTAGTGCACGGTTCAGAGCTGCAGTCGTTGTTGGGAAGAAACGTTGAATGTGGACCAAAATTCCTGCGGCGAACATTGAATTCTAAGTAGTGGAAAGCTCGAGAACAAGCATGTAAGACGCTTCTGCATGCATAATGTATCAATGAACCAGTGAATTGCACATAAGCTATAGTTACAAGAAACCTAATTAAGCCGGATATTTTGCACTATTCAAATAAAAACTGATGGCTAGTATGTTAGCGACGGCGACATACAAATAATCATTAAAATCATTTGCTACGATTCAAGCATATAATGGCTTTATCCGCGTCAGCTTTCGAGTTGTCGTTTTGCGCTATGCGATTAACAAATGATAAAACCTGTTGTCGTTGTTTTTTCTTTCATTTATTCGAAAATATTCCAGTTCGGCTGGCTACCTAGAAATATTATGTCGAATCGAACAGACGGAAATGCTTTATGAAGACTTGCCATCAATCATTCTCTATACGATGTAGTTCTAATGAGTGTTTCTCTTAGAAACTGATAAACTACGTTTAGTAGCTTTTAGTCGACGCGAGAGGGTTAGCTCATGTTTATGCAAATAGGGAGATTATACTGAACAAATCAATTTGACTTTGTGCAAACTGAACGTCAAGAAAATAACCACCTGCACACAGATAACAATTGTGTTCTGCTGTGTTTCATGTTAACATTTTCATGTTTTCCCTTGGTATTATATTTTTTTTCTCAATTAAACTAACAGATTAAAACCAGCTCTAAAGAGAATCACGCGGTAATTATTCCCTTGTTCCATTTAGCAGCTGAATTTCCTACTGACACGACGACCGATGTTTCATCAGTCTGGTTGACAGCGCGACTAACAGAAATGTTTCCAAAATCATTTGTGCGTGAGCTTTGCGGAATTTCGAAATTTTTTTTTCAAGAATATATTATACAAATTTACAATAATCTTGATAAATTAATGATCCTAAAAGTTAAACCAAGTAGGTAAAGCCATTCTTCAAATCCTTCAATCAAACGATTCTAGGGTTTCTTTAACGCCTTCTCCTTAAGAGCAATTTCGGTAAAAACGATTTACAAACACAGGCAAGATGGCTTTAGTCTGAACACGAATATTGTTTGTCGAGCAATACATTACACGAGTATTGTCTAAGTCTGAGCAGTCTGAAACAGTTTTGGATGGACGTTACAGCCTAAACATCTTTTTTCATTATTGTTATTATTTTTAAGTCCTTCTTACCTGGTTTTACCATTTCACAACCTTCATAGAAATTCGACGTTACAGCAGTTTTAGCATGGTCCTATTTGTTGCCGGTGAAGAGATCAGTTTCAATGGACACGTAAATTGACGGAAGCAAATAATTTGAATAATTGCAATTTAAATTGCTAAAAATCTCTCTCATGTTAATCATGTTATCTATGCTAATTTTTCACTCTGGTTACGCGCCGGTTTTCTTTTTTTCCTCCTAGGATAAAACATTTTTCGTGCATTGAAAGGATCAACGTTTTCTAATTAAAAAAATTTTCGTTTTCTCAATTACAATAGGGTAAAGAGTGACTTAAAAAAAATAATTCGGCCTTCAGTATTTTATTTCAACAGCTGCGAGAAATAAAAGCCGTGTTACTTGGCAGCCGAGTGGCTCAGACCCTCGCAACTAGACTTCACAACAGGGCCAACAATATTCATTAGGTAGATGAATAAACAACTGCCGACTGTGCTCTGTTCTGTTGTAAAACACGCAAGAAGCGGTCAGAGCGTGAAAGAAGTGTAGGGGAAAACACAAGACGTTCCCCCTTGCTTCTCTGTTGTGCTACTATTTCCTAAGTGCTTTACAACCGAAAAGAGCACACTCGAGGCTGCTTTATTTGCTTCATGATAAAGAATCCATTTCCGTGCGACTACGACTCGAACCGGGCCACCAAGAAGAAAGCTAACCAATCAAAAAGGAAATTGATAACAATGGAGTGGTAGTTCGAGAAAGAGGATTTGTTTTTCTTGGGTCAGAAACTCAAATCAAAGTGCTCTGTGAGCAAACTCGTAAATTGAACAAATGAATTAAAATATTTTTTGGATTATGTTTAATATTATCTGGTTTAGGGAATATTGTGGTTGATTTTCATATTTAGTGTAGAGCAGTAGATCAGTGTTCGCTAATAAGGTACCAAAGAAACAAAGTAACATTTGGATGAGAAGGCATTACAACTGAAACGATCATGCTTTTACATTTGACAAGGGTGGGCGATGTCGTGTTTTAAACATTTTTCATTTTTGTTTCTGGTTCACCAAGAAATAGTTGGCGGTAGATGTGGGTGTTAAGTGAACATTGGAAATATTGACTAGCAGTAACCAATAGTTGCAAAGTGCGGGCGGCCGTGTCTGTTGCGAGATTGAGGATAGCGTGGGAGAAGCCATGGAGACGCGCTCTTAAAATTTTAATTATTATCATTACTATTATAAAACAATATGTTAATGATAAAAGACTTTATTATTACTGTTGTTGTTGTTATTGTTATTATTAATACTATTACTATTGTACTATTATTATTATTATTATTATTATTATCGTATCTATAACAAAATTCTTGATCGTGATTGGTTCTCTGTGCGCCTATTTGCCACGTAATCGGCATATGATCATGTGGGTGTCCAATTACAGGTATCCAATTTGAACTTTTCGTAACTGGATACCCACGTGATTCGCACGTCAATTACGCGCTCTTTAATGGTTTCCTTCGCACTGTTCCCACAGTTCTCAAAACTTATGAAAAGCGTTACAAACGTTTTCGCTCAAAACAAGTTCTCAAAAGACATTTTTATTCCGAAATTTGTTATATATACGATTAATTAGTAACTGGACCTCGCGTCGTACAATTCAGGGAGTAATCGTGCTCGTAATTTCAAATCGGTCTCGCGCTTCGCGCTCGTCCAATTTTGAAATTACTCGCGCGATTACTCCCTGAATTGTACTCCACTCGGTCCAATTACTGTTACTTATTATTTTTGTTAGGGCTACTGTCAACAGAGGAAACCAGTGGCCCGTTTCTCGAAAGCCCCGGAATCTTTCCGGGCCCGAAAAGCCATTTTTAGTTAATCGGTATTTGAAGACAAAGAGGTGTATACGCCTTAAACTTCTTGTATGAAGAGAACCTCTGTTTATATTAAGAACATATGAATAAAACAGCTTTGTACTCAAAAGGTTTGAGATTTTGCTACGGCTTTTCGGGACGTTCGAGAATCGGGGGCCCAGGTCGAAATTGAAATAAAGAAATAATTATTTTGGGTTTTTAGAGGTAGGACATCCAGAAAGTAGTTCTTCGTCAACCTGGTGGCGAATGGAATGGGAATTTGGAAACGTAGGTCTTTGAGGGAAACCAACAATAAACTCAACGCACAAATGGCGTCGACGCAAACAAGAGGCACTTTAAATGGAATGAAAACAAACGCAATTAGTTAGATAACAGTCAAAACAGTAACAAGTGTCAATGATCAAGAACAGTAAACAACAGGAACATGTGTTCAAATGAATTATTTTTAAAGGCTTAAAACTGGGGGAGTAAAAATATTGTACTTTTAATGAAATAAATGGCAATGAACGGCAAGTTTACTTACGAGAATCCTAAGAATATTCCGTCAAACATTCAATTCGGTTTAGTCAGGAATGGATATAAAGGAAGCTTTTTTCAGTGCTTCTCCTCCAAAACTATATCAGCAAGTTCCATGTAGTGCGACCAAACTGGTTCGACTTCTTGATGCAACCAAACTGGGTTGACTTTTCGGTCATTCAGTAACCTCAGCGGATTGAGATGCCCTGCAGAATCATAAAATGTAAGCTTAAGTTTAAGCTTATGGAAGCTTTCAGAAGACAAGGTACGCACTACTCTCCGTAAGAACATTAGGTTACTTGAGAGAACTGGAAAAAAGCGTTTAATTTTGTTGATTATAAACTTTGCAAATCACTTGTATCTTACCGAGAATTTGTCTCTCCGTTTCCTTTCTCGTTTGCACTCTCGTTTACACTTTAAGAAAGTGCCGCTGACCGCCGACGCCAAGATTAGGCTGCGGGTTCGCTTTTGCTTGCCCGCAAAAAATCAAGACAATATTGTCTTAATGAAAACATTAATCATTCTTTCTTTATAAAATGAGATAAACGGAAACGAGTTTTAAGTTTTGTTGCTAAATGGCATTTTCAGGTTCTACTTATAAGGACGTACAAGGACACGTTCATGACATTTTCGATGGAAGTTTCCGATGTAAAGATTCCGTGAAATGTAAAGTCTAGGCGATATTTTCATTTCAAGTTACAACAAGGCGACGAGGAAACCAGCGTTATTTTCCTTTGTCGGAAGAAATTAGAGAAAATTAAGCAAAAAGAGAGGAACAGACTTCCAGCTCATGTAACCAATGTAGGTATGCCGATGGTGAAGAATATAGAATGGACAACTTGCCTAGAGTATCGACAGCGAAGAATATCTAGTTCCACTGCAGCCTTAAGTTTCATTGGCTTTAAAAACAATGAAAATGATAGGAAGAAAAACTAGCCTGCGAGAGCATCCGGTTTTTTTGGCTCTTGGTTTTTTTACGCATGAAACAAGAGCAGAAAAAAACAGGTGACCTTGCACGCTAAAGAAAAACACAAGCGACTCGATAGAGCCACGTGTTTAAGAGCTAGGCACAATTCAACCGGATGTTCGATATTTTCGGACTTCAAATCGGATCTCTTCAGGGTCGCTCGGGTAGGTACGTCATGTATAGGGACATATATTGTACCGAAATATATATTTCATATATGCTTGATACGCTTGAGATGCTTGTCTTACTTGACATACTTGACTTACTTGAAGAACTTGATTTACTTGAGATTCTCGTCTTACTTGAGATTCTTGTCTTGCTTGAGACGCTTGACTTACTTGACATGCTTGACCTACTTGACATGCTTGACTTACTTGAAGAACTTGATTTACTTGAGATTCTCGTCTTACTTGAGATTCTTGTCTTGCTTGAGACGCTTGACTTACTTGACATGCTTGACCTACTTGAGGTGCTTGACTTACTTGAGATTCTTGTCTTACTTGAGTTTCTTGTCTTGCTTCAGACGCTTGACTTACTTGAGGTGCTTGACTTACTTGACATGCTTGACCTACTTGAGGTGCTTGTCCTACTTGACATGCTTGACGTACTTGAGGTGCCTGTCTTACTTGAGATTCTCGTCTTACTTGAGCCGCTTGACTTACTTGAGATTCTTGTCTTACTTGAGATGCGTGACCTACTTGAGATGCTTTGCTTACTTGGGGTTCTTTGCCTACTTGAGGTTCTTGACGTACTTGAGGTTACTTGAAATGCTTGACTTACTCGAGATTCTTATCTTACTTGAGGTGCTTGACTTACTTGAGGTGCTTTCCTTACTTGAGGTGCTTTGCTTACTTCAGACGCTTGACTTACTTGAGATTCTTGTCTTACTTGAGATGCTTGACTTACTTGAGATGCTTGACCTACTTGAGGAGCTTTCCTTACTTGAGGTGCTTTGCTTACTTGAGACGCTTAACTTACTTGAGATTCTTGTCTTACTCGAGGTACTTTGCTTACTTGAGGTGCTTTCCTTACTTGAGGTGCTTTGCTTACTTGAGGTTCTTGAAGTACTTGAGGTTACTTGAAATGCTTGACTTACTTGAGATGCTTATCTGACTTGAGGTGCTTGACTTACTTGATGAGGTGCTTTCCTTACTTGACGTGCTTTGCTTACTTGAGGTGCTTTCTTTACTCGACGTGCCTTGCTTACTTGAGGTGCTTTATCTACTTGAGGTTCTTGAAGTACTTGAGGTTACTTGAAACGTTTGACTTACTCGAGATGCTCGACTTACTTGAGATTCTTGTCTTCCTTGAGATGCTTGACCTACTTGAGGTGCTTTCCTTACTTAAGGTGCTTTGCTTACTTGAGGTCCTTGAGGATCTTTGCCCACTTGAGGTTCTTGACGCACTTGAGGTTACTTGAAATGCTTGACTTACTTGGGGTGCTTAGCTCACTTGACGATCTTTACGTTCTTGAGGTGCTTGACTTACTTGAGGTGCTTTGCTTACTTGAGGTGCTTGTCTTGCTTGTGGCGGTTTGCGTACTTAGGTGCTTTCCTTACTTGAGGTGCTTTGGTTGCTTGAGGTGCTATGCTTACTTTAGGTGCTTTGCTTACTTGAGATGCTTTGATTACTTGAGATGCTTTGCTTACTTGAGGTGTTTTGAATACTTGGGGTGCTTTGATTACTTGAGATGCTTTGATTACTTCAGGTGCTTTCCTTACTTGAGGTGCTTTGCTTGCTTGAGGTGCTTTGCTTACTTGAGATGCTTTTCTTACTTGAGGTTCTTTGCTTGCTTGAGGTGCTTTGCTTACTTGAGATGCTTTGCTTACTTTAGGTGCTTTGCTTACTTGAGGTGCTTTGCTTGCTTGAGGTGCTTTGCTTACTTTAGTTGCTTTGCTTACTTGAGGTGCTTTGCTTACTTGAGGTGCTTTGATTACTTGAGATACTTTGCTTACTTGAGATGCATTGCGTACTCGAAGTGCTTTGCTTACTTGAGGTGCTTAGCGTACTTTAAGGGTTTTATTACTGCTTTTTTTATTTTTCTCATGCTCTAAGATTTTTGATTCTGTCACCTTATTCACTAGAAATGCCACGCTCAGAGAAGGGTAAAAAGGGAGGAGCAACACATTGTTATTGCTTCTCAATGACATCTTACGCCCTTTTGTGCTCTGGTTTTAATACATGGGTGCACGCTACATGTGTCGGTCTTACAAAGACAGCTGTCAAGCCGATATTACTTGGATTTTCCCGACTTCGGTCAGACATGTTCATAGTGTTATCTTCCATTCGCGAATGTGAATCTTTCGTTTAAATAGAGTTAAACACGCAAATGAGCACACTGTTATCAAGTTCTTCGATGGAAGGCAACGAAATTGAAGATCAATTATATGGTAATGATGTACCTATTAATCCCCAGGAGAGCTCGATAATTGCAGAACGAAAAAACAACTCACACAATGCTTTTGTAGCACACTTGAACATTAACAGCATACAAAACAAATTTGAGTAACTAAAATTGCTGGATGATTATTTTAAAGAGCAAATACTTATGTATCTGAAACCAAATTTGACAGTTCTTATTTCGACGACCAGTTTAGACTACAAGGATACCATATGTATCACAGAGACAGAACCAAAGGGGGAAGTGGACTCATTGCTTATTTTTCTAGAGCTACAAGACGCTGCAAGCTATTGCTGTTGAATGTACGATAAGGAGGAAATAAATATTGTGTTTAGCGCCTTACAGGCACCTAGACAATCGAAAGAGATCACTGAAAAGGTAGGTTATTTCTTCCTCTACATTCTGCATGTACTGATTTTGATTCAGTGCTCTCTTTCGAAAGAGATCAAGCAAAGCACGTCAAGTATGCAAAGCATCTCAAGCAACTTTGAGATGCTTAACTTGCTTGTGATGCTTGTCTTACTTGAGATGCTTGACTTAATTGAGATGCTTTCCTTACTTGAGATGCTTGACTTACTTGAGGTGCTTGTGCACAGCCCCAGAACACTTTGAAACCCTTCATCAGACGAAAAAGCGAAAAAAAAGTGTAACTTCTCATAATCAGGATTTTTCGGCTTTTTGAGGAAGTGGAGGAAATTTTTAATGTAATTCTGGTACAGGAAGATGACTATATTCAAATTCCCCAGGATTATTAAAACGATAGGCGCAAATTAAAAAAAAATGGTTTAAAAAGCAATGGTGCTCTACGAAAAAATTAATAAGGAGAAATCAAGAGGTGTTTTGTTGTATTTAACGAATTCAAAAGCTTTTCTTAAAGAACTTTGTAATTTAATGGTCCATGGTAAAATAAAATGCTACGTTGAAGTTTTGACGCAAGCACATAGGATCCTTGACGCTATTCTACACTCACAACTTGAGATTGGCGGATTGTCCAATAAGCTTCGTTGATGAATGGACGCCCGTTTCTCCCCTTTGAGAATCACTGTAGTTCTATGCACCGGCGCCCGGTGCATACAACTACCGTGATTGTTATAGCGGGCGAAATATCTTCCATTCTAACCCACCCATTATATTTTCGCGCGATTTTGTTGGCCACTTTATGTCACGTGGTGGACAGTTATCGTGCAACAACCCCTGTTTAAGTCGATATTTGTACTCCTCCTCTGATTTCCACTGAAAAGAAAAACAATGTCTGCGGGAAACAAGCCAGCAAGAGAGTTTCAGTTATCATTTTTATTTTACATGGAAGAACGACCTTGTTTTGTATAGTCTAGCGATAGTGACATTAGAAAGCTGGTCTCAAATGTTGTTTCAACAAAATACGAACCAGAAAGCTTAAGAGCGCCAAGTTTTTCGGGTATTTCGAATTCATTTAAGGGGCACTGCAAGAGTTCATTTCACATCACAGTCTGTCAAGTTTTGGTCTAATCGCAGCGGAAATTAAGTTAAGCCGATCAAGTTAACTAGCTCTCAACAATCGCGCCAATTCGTCTTCAGATCAATACTGGCTTTTTACGAGCGGTGCAAGTTCGATATGAAAATTAATGGGAGGGTTATAAAATAAATAAACTCCTTTCTGGTATGTTGGCTGATAATCTCTTCGGCATTTCACATTTGGCCTTGAAGTTTCGCTTTTCATTTTTCGGAAATCTCTCAGCCGCGGACTTTTTCAGGCTACATACCAGCCGCTCGAAGGGGTTTATTTACTAATTGATTGACACCCGTGGTTTGTGTTTGGTATCAATATCCCGTCCTTGGTCCGACTGGTTGAATTTTCGTTTTTCCTCCCCTCACAAAAACGTCCAAATCGATATTCGATACAATTACACGTTACGAACTCCTAGAGCTCTTCCCATTTGGTGGGTAAATAAATGACACCTACCACATAGGCAGGATAAACATGCTAAGGATGTGACACACATTCTAGATCCACAAACGGGTATAAAACGCCTGAAACGAAAATTTTAATCTCTCTGATAACCACCCCTTGTATGAGATGTTTTATGTATGAGAAGGATTTATAGGGTGGAGTATTTTACCGGAGTCTAACTTAGACCATCGCTGAAGGTAACAAATAAACTTCTATATCTGTTCATAGTTGGGTTTTTCATAAGGAATGAATATTGTAGTAGTCTGTGCTACATGCCTGCCTGGGCTTACATTCTTGGATGTGCCAGATTGAATCGATTTAGACCGTGGTTTTGTTAAACCTCGTCTAAACTTTGTTTATATGGGATCGGTATGCGTGCTTTGGCTCAGTTTTTTTACATACGAAAGAATATCACAGTGGAAAAGTAATGGCAATACACTTTCATCGACAACTTCATTGGCATTTATTGACATCTTATTTTGGCAGTCTCCTCCTCTTCTCTGAAAATTGAACAAAAAATTGCAAAGTTAGCATAAATTGTAAGCTACCGTTGACCTTTTACCAAGAAATGTAATATATAAACAATAGCCTCCATTTGGAGCGAAAATATGCTAGGATATTTGTCCGCGGACATTATCTGAAAAGCGAATAGTTCTCCGAGAGCGTAGCTAGAGGAAAACTGTGAGCTTCGAGGAACAGATAACGTCCAAGGACAAATACCAGAGCATATTTTCGCGCCTAACAGAGGCTACTGTGTTTTATTATCCTTCAAATCGTTTTTCGCAACACGCGCAGTTTTGAAACTTGGGGAATATTCTCGGATATTCCCTGGTTTTAGCTGTGAGATATTCGGTCAGGTGACGTGCTTAGACCAATCGCGCGCGAGCGAAAATATTTGTTTTACAATAACTGTCCAATTTCTCGTGCGCTGATTGGCTCATTTTTATCATCGATAAGAGTACAGACGGATAAAATTTTAATTTCTGCAAACTCTCAGCTGTCAAACTGTCAACTTTTCAACCAATGAGATTTTATGGACTTTTTTAAGTAGCTAGTCAAAAGCACTCCCTGTGTTTGACATTAAATTTGCATTAAATTTACATTTATTTCTTTACATTTACATTTACAAGTCCAGATACACTGAACTCAAGAATCATTATTCGCCGAACGGCATTGCATTTTCCCTCTCCGTTTGGTTTTCTTTCTTTTCAACATGATTATTCTCCTAAATATATGGTTTTGGTGCTACGCAATAATTGAGTGAGACTATTTATTTACACCTGGCAAGCAATCAATAATTATTTTCGCAGCGAAAGAATCCTTCCTTCCCTTCCAAACTAACAAAGAGCCTATGAAAAAAATCGTTATGACAGCATCTTTTCAAATCTTTTAAACGTCAACAGTTCTATGCTCACCGGTGAGGATCCCTTGATGC